ACTAAATTCTATAGCTGTTCATGGTAAAAGCTATCAGGAGACTAGAAGTAGAACAGAACCTTCTCAACAGATAAGCCATGTACTCCATACTTCCAGCAAAAACACCTTATATGAGTGGAAAAGATACAATGCTTTCTCCCTAAGGTGAGGAACAAGGGCAAGATATGCCTACTCTTCATCTGTCCACTAAACTTTGAAACATAGGCCCAAACCAAAATAGTCTGGCAATAAAAATACAATTAGCATAGGATTGGCAAGGTAGAAGTAAAATCTTCGTATATAGATGAAATGACCATCTATAGAGAAAATACTAAGAAATCTCTAGGAGCCCCTAGAACTTGTGTTTGAATTTGGCAGGATTAGAAAACACAAGGCATATATAAAAATTCAGATCTGTGTATACTTGCTATAAATGAAGAAGTGGCTATTGAAATTTACAAGTTATATAGGAGTACAAAGGACCTAGAAAAGTAAAAAGAAAAAAACGTGTTGGAAGACATTTAGTACCTAATTTTAAGACTTCCTCTAAAACTACAATAATCAAGGCAGTGTTGGCATAAGGAAAGACATATAGATCATTGGAATAAAACAGAGAATCTCGAAATAGAACCACACGTATATATATATATATATATATATGGCCTACTGAGTTTTGAAGGATTATTTAACATTACCATTTTATAGAACATAAACTCAACTCAAGAGCAGAGGAAAAGATAATCTTTTCAACAGAACTGGTAGTAGAACACCTGGTATCCGTATGTAAAAAATTAACCTCAACCCTTTATTTCCATACATAAAAATAACTTAAAAGGACCTATTAACCTAAATATGAAAGACTAAAACTATAAAACTTTAAGAAGAAATTATAAGGGAAAATGTTCATGAATTTAGGGCAGGCAAGAATTTCCTAGGATGTAAAAAACATGCTGTATAAAAGAAAAAAATTGATAAATGAGATTCCATCAAAATTTAGAATTTTAAATGACATCGTTAAAATGAAACGTCCTTAAACAGACCATATTTATAATACATATAAAGAACTCTTACAGCTCCTTAATAGACAACCAAGTTAAAAAGTAGACACAAGAAGATGATAAATAGCCAGTACAGCACAAGGAAAGGTGTGCAACAGTAGAATCAGAAAAATACTAATCAGTACAATAACAAGATTGAAAAAAAAATGATTGAATTATACACTCA